TTCAGAGAGGTCCTTGCTGGTTCTTCGGGTCTAGACATCACATTCATCATTCTTGCTCTCCTTTCTGTAACAGATCCTTCTGTGGAGCAACCATTCCTCGTTAGTTCCTCGTTGAGGATGGGTTCAGGAAGATGAGCAACACAAGCAATAAGTGTCTCGGGAGGGACCGTGTGGTTCTCCACAAGAATAACTGTCCTTTCGGTGTCTTCGGGAGATGTAGGGCCAACGTTGAGATCATCTTTGTTTACATCCAGATGAAGTGAAGCATGGGTCTCAGAGCTAGAGGGCGACCTGATGATTGGATTACTATCCAACAAACTAGATCCGCCTTGCTCAGTTAAGTAAGAGGTCTGCGCTTCGATCAGTTTGATATCAGTAGCGCTGGTTGAGGTGATAACAATGTCAGGGATATCCGTCGTCTTGTTAAAGGTCATTTGTAGTCCATTATCTTTTTCTAAGTTAGAGTCAGGTCTAAAGGGATCATCTGCACTAAATCCTTGAGGTTGCTGATGTGTAATAATGTCAGGTATCTCCATCGTCTTGTTAAAGGTCAATTGTAGTCCATTATCTATTTCTAAGTTAGTAAAGTCAGGTCTAAAGGGATCATCTGCACTAAATCCACCATCTGTGGAAGATTGAGAGGGAGCCGTTTCTTGCAGAGATGAAACTGAGGTCTGGTCACTTACAAGATTTTCCTCGATCGCAGTTGAAGGGGATCCAATGAAAAAAAGAACAAGTTGTTCGTTTTGAATATCACTCTTTCCTTTAGGTATGGAATGCATGTACTCAAGAGTGGAATTTCCTGAGAGAACACACAGAGATCCTGAGTGCATGGGCACCAAATGGGTTACTTTAGTTCCCCGTTTCAGTTTGAGTGATCTTGGGGCCCCAAGAGAAAGAATGGCAACTGTGGGTTTCGCCCCATGTTTTCCAGCTAGTGTTTCGTAGGGGATATGATCGTTATAACTTGGGAGTCGCCTGATTACTATGTTGGTGATAGTTGTATTAAGTTCAAATATTGAGCTCGCTGACTTCTCGATTTTCTTGGTGAGGTAGCTGATCTGATTTCTAAGGTTACTCTCCGGGGTCGAGTCATCTGGATGACCCTCAGACTCTACGCAATCATCTTCGATCTCCAGATCTATCTCTTGACGGCTACTCGTTTGGTTAGGGTAATTTGATATATCAATATTCAGCTCACTAAGCAGCAGTTCAGCGGCGTCGAAGTCAATAAAATCCTCGATGTAGTGTAAAGTACATTTCTTTTTCCTTTGATCCAGGATGTATACCCCGTTCTCTGTGATGGCCTTTGGTTTATTTGACTGTTTCTTTTTCCTCATTTCTTGACTTGAACTGCACTCACTGACACTCCTCTCACTGACACTCCTCTCACCTGCACTCCTCTCATTTGCACTACCAGATGCACTGCTCTGCTCGGAGTAGCTCCTCATTCTGCGCGAAATCTTCTCTCCGGGATTCCAGTACGGACTTAAGGTTTTTGGTAAGCGAGGTGGTTGACTGCTTGAAAGAGTTTCCTTGGGGTGTGCTTTCTTAGGAGTGCTGTTTGAGTTCTGTGATCTGGAGTCATCGGTATGATCTTCTTCTCGGACCATAAAAACTTGAAGTTGCTGATTGAGGGATGGAGTAGGTAGATATCTTTTTTTCACCGTAACAAGCGTTGAACTGTAGGTATCCAAAGGTTCCAAATGAAATTTAGAGAATTCAAATGAGCCGACGATAGAGCAAACGGCCAACATAAAAACAAATGTCAAAAAAACCTGATACCTTGTCAAAGTGTTTTTATACTTCAAAATTTGCTCCAAATTTTGCTCCAAATTTTGCTCCCAAATTTTATTATGGCACAGGATGTGTGAGGTTGGTGAGATGAAAGAATATTCGAGATTGGGCGTTTCTATGCTATCATAGAGATTACGCGGCACTTCGGCTCTGCCGCATTGGGTCGGACGGGTCTCGGAAAAAGCAAGCGCAGGTACACGAGCGCGACGAACGTGGCCACAAGCGAGGAGGTACCTAGTAACCCTGGCACTGACATCTACCACTAAATATTCGGAGCGATCAATAAAATGGTAATCGAAAAAATCTTCAACAAAATCTCGCCAAGTCCACTCATCAAATAAAATAGGGCGTTGGGGCACTATTACATTTCCTATCAGTATAATGTTAACATATTTAAAGACACTCAGGAAATCAAAACAATCAACAAAAACATGGCATGAGCCCAAGTCTAAAAATAGGTCGGGGCGTGGGGCCACTGCAAGTATCACATTCGAAATATCACAAGTACATTCAAACAATACGTCATTATTCCACATAGTGTGTAGCATCGGAATATAATATGAGAAAGTTCCAAGACACCGGAAGTACGTCTGCGTGTAAGTAAAATGCAAATGTTCATTTAAACAGATGAGCGAAGAGTTGCAGTTACACGGGTGGTTGAGTGTGTAGGTACACTTAAAACTGATGTTAAACATAATCGGGTCCCTGATCGTTGTACGATATAAGTGCGAGTAGAAGCACAAACCCGGTTTTAAGCCAAAAGAATCCAAATCCAGTCCCAATTCCAGTTCCGATATGTCCAGAGAATTAGAGATAGGGTTAGGCGGAGGGGCAGGTCCAGTTCCAGCCACAGTACTGGCCACGCCAGCGACTAAAAGTATCAACCACGTCACGGTGACAGTGGTAAATCGAAGAGCGTTAAAATGTGTAACGAATGCAAATGTGCAAATATATATGTTGTGGGGATGATGTGAACCCTGCTTGATTCAGGGGATACTGTTATTATACAGTAATATGATCTGGTAGACAGTGGTCCGCGGACAGTGGTCCGCAGACAGTGGTCCGCAGACAGTGGTCCGCGGACCAGTGGTCGGGCTATCTCGATACTGCCCAATGTGTTGTATTTGTGGTAGATACTTCCAAGTGATACACTGTTTATGATAAACAGTCTCAATAAATATCGTAAGGTAAACTGTTCTCTGAGAATCTGGTTTTAAAATGGTACGGGGAAAACTGTTGCCCGAGAATTTTAGGTAATAGGTTCCAAATATTGTAAGGTAAACTGTTCTCGTTTCAAAATGTAATGTTACTGTAAGCTCTGCTTTTAGTTTTAGTTTTGGCAAAAACTGAATCATAATAATAATAATCTATAAATATCACGAACTACTAAGAAGTCTGTAAATAAAAACTGCTCAGAAGTCTATAAATAAAAACTGCTCAGAAGTCTATAAATAAAAACTACTCAGAAGTCTATAAATAAAAACTGCTCTGAAGTCTATTAATATCAACTACACAGAAGTCAGAAGTGTTTTAATACCAATTACTTTCACCATGAGTGGTCGAATGTCACGCAGGATATGCAGTGTTTACATTTAAATCGGCTGTATCTTCGGTTCAGATGAATATATTTTGATGCGATAAAAACGTACTACCACAGAATATTATTATTTTCCTCCCTGTGACCACGGGCTTCCCTAAGATTGTGGCTTACATCTGCAGAGTTAACATTACCTTGTGTCTTCGTCTGGAGTTAACATTAGCGTGTGTCTTACATCTAGAGTTAACATTAGCTTGTGTACACTATATTATTCCATATAAGGCCTGATCATTATTATTATTATCAAACTTTACACAAATCCGAAGTAGTAATATAAAAACATCCTAGGGATCTGATAAGTCTACGTGAAGAACTCTGAAAACAAACTTAAATATTTAACCCAACAAAATTGAAAATTAATGAATCAAAAACTAAACAAATTTCTCCAATGGTTTCTGTTCGAGGCTATATGTCGAAGTTCTGTCAAATCTGTCAAATTACATAAATTTATATTTCTTTTATTTAAATCACTCAAAATGGTTTTGAAAATACTGATCTGATGTCTACCAATTCTCCCTTTCATATTCTCCATACTCTCAACAGTAAAACTCAATGCTAGTTGGGGTGGAGAGTTACAATCACTTCTAAGGATATGACCGAGCATTTTCCAGCGAGACTTAGCAACCCTCTCTGTTAATGGAGTCACCCCACAACGAGCATAAAGGTCTCGGTTACTGATGATTCGGGGATAAGTGGAGTTCATTATCCGCCTCAAATGTTTGCGCTGACACACATCCACTTTCTGAAGGATTTTCTCTGGAGCGGCCCAGCTATTGCAGTTGTACAGCAGTACTGGGGTAACAAGGGCCTCGTATAATTTCACTTTGGTGTCCAGTGAAATTCGGGACTTTTCCAGCCAAACTTTGTTGTACTTTTCGAAAGCAACATTAGCTAGGATACAGCGGTGAAGTATGTCAGATTTGCTGCAAAGCCTGGATCCCAGTGACACACTCTTTCTCCATGGCTCTCTACCTCTTAATGGCTCTCCTTTCTTGTCGACATCTGTTTTGTCTGCTATATAGAAACGGACAAATTCAGTCTTGTCTTCGTTAACAAGTAGGTCCCATTCAGCTAAAATTTCTCTGCAAATAGGCAGCATCTCATGCAGATCAAGTAACTTGATCTCTGGTGACGTCGCAAAATATCTTAGTCGGGATACGACACGTTATAACGAATGTGATCACGTTCCCGAAGATAAACGTGATAGGACCGACTGTCACGTGGCCTTATTTATCCCTTATATGGCACGAGTAGCTGCAATTTATGAGCTCTTAATTGGGCTGCAATCCTTGACAGGCCTATAATTACCCAGTTTTAAATGAACGATGTCTCATTCTACAGAATCATTTACAATTGTAATAGATTAAAAAGAACTTATTACAATTCGTAAGCAGTGAATGAATGGGAAAAGCGAGCGACCGTTTTCATTCTCGTCTTCATTTTGCAGACGGTCAATCGAATTAATATCATTTCCTTTTGTTTGGGAAAGAGAGACACCGGCAGCGGTCCACTCTACCCATGATTACGGGTTTTAGTCAAATAAGTAAGTACTCATTTTATAATAATCCATAATTCTTAATGCTATAAACATCAACTACTCCCCCAGAACCGGAATGTGAGGCAGGTTATTACGGCAAGGAATATGTAAAGTGCGCGGATCAAGTGGAATGTATCTATGTCCAATATGTTTGTGACGGAGATCTAGATTGTGAAGATGGGTCAGATGAAGAAAATTGCCCAGGTTGAGTATTGATAAACTTACCTTTTATTTTACCCTAAAACCTATTAAAAATCTGAAATAACAACTTACAGCTATTATAGTCCAATATAATAGCTTCCGCCATTTCATAATACCAAACACAATGTGTTTGTATGATCAAACACAATCACAAAATGTCACCAAATCACGAAATTAAATTTAGACTTTCAAATCTTCTTTAGTATTAAATACAAAAACACGTTATTTTATTTACAACAACGTCAAGTTTGAGGCTTTTACTAATTCACGTCACTCGCCCAAAAATTTCACGTGACTTTGGTTTTTATGGTTTTGCAGCCGTACAAAACGGTTTTACATAAACCCTAATCCCAACCCTAACAGTAACCCTAACCAAAACCCCGAAGCTATCCATAACCCTAACTACAACCCTAACCCTAACCCGAGCCCTAAACAATCGAATTCATGTTTTACTAGCCTGTCACGTGACCAAAACGGTTTTTTGCCGATAACTCTTCAGGGAAGCATTTTTCGCTCCTACTAAATCGCTCGCCCAAATTGAAATAAATGAATGGCAGTGTACAGGATAAATTGAAAATGAAACTTACGTCTTGCAGTCTTTACTTACTAATACTGATGGTAATAGAAAACAGCGCTAGCAGTGATTTGCTTACATGATGACGGTCAAAGCAAGCGACCGCGCTGTTACAGGACAAGAACGGTCACTTTTTTATATCACATCTTTGACTCGTTTTATTATACTAATTTTATTGCGCAGCTTTATGTAACGCAGCTGATAACTTAAGTAGCATTATAATTTCAATAACTAACTTATATTATCAATATCTTTACAATTTTACAGCACAAAACTAACCAGGCGATGAGGCGACGGTCCATCCTACCCAATTTATCGGGTTTGGGTTAAATTTCATAATACAAAATACAATGTGAATAAAACGCAATCATATATCAAACTACGTTTGACCGACATAAAAGTCTTCATAATGAATATTATAACTATAAGTAAGTACTAATTTTATAATAATCCATAATTCTTAATTCTATAAACATCAACTATAACTCCCCCCAGTGGCAGTACCTGAATGTGAGGCAGGATATGTAAAGTGCGCGGATCAAGTGCAATGTATTTATGAAAGATATGTTTGTGACGGAATGGCAGATTGTGATGATATGTCAGACGAAGAAAATTGCAAAGGTTGAGTATTGATAAACTTTCTTTTTAAATTTGGGGGGGGGGGGGGGGGGGTCGTGTTCATTTTCAATTGAACTGACCCGTTTCAAGGTCCTGTAATATGGGCCAGGGCTCGGTTTAGATCGTACTTAGACCGTCCGTGCGTGGTGAAGAGCCACATCCTGCACGAGGTGACCCTGCAAGACCGGCATGTCATTGAAGAATCCGACTGTCTGAGTCAACTAAACACGGCGGATCTAGAGGAGCACACACCTCGAAAAAAAAGCCAGGTATATGAAGACATGCACCCGTGATTGTACGATTTCTGACAACACAGGGTTGTTTGTTAGGTCATTCGTAACCAAAATCGTTTAGGTGTACAATTTTTTTCGCTAGAGACAACCCTACAGGGCGAATTTTCTAAATTACCCGCAGTCGAATTTTCGTATTTCGGCTCCTGAAGGTCATAGAGACTTTAATTAATCTATAGATCTCCTAACGGAGTTTTCTTAGAGGGTGAGAGGTTCTTTAGTAAAACCGACTGATTAATTGACGCTCTAAAATGAACGGAAAGCTAGCATGGAGAGTGTACTCTAGTAGTAGTAGCAGGGAGTAGTTGAGTGTGCACTTCGATGTACACGATTTCAGACAACACAGGGTTTTCTTAGAGGGTGAGAGGTTCTTTAGTAAACCCGACTGATTAAATGAGGCTCTAAAATGAACGGAAAGCTGACATGGAGAGTGTACTCTAGTAGTAGTAGCAGGGAGTAGTTGAGTGTGCACTTCAATGTACACGATTTCTGACAACACAGGGTTGTTTGTTAGGTCATTCTAAACCAAAATCGTTTAGGTGTACAATTTGTTTCGCTAGAGACAATCCTACAGGGCAAATCTTCTAAATTACCCGCAGTTGCGTATACGGGATTTTCGCATTTCGGCTCCTGAAGGCCATAGAGAATTTAATTATAGCTTAAACTTACTGAAATGGCCACATTTATATACAACTTATTAATCAATGTATGGTCTAAAATTGTTTATTTCTGCAAAAAACTAATTTTAAGCTCAGGCGTGGGCACAAATTTCATCAAATTTGTATGTCAGCTTCTAATGCGGTCTTAGAGACTTAAAGTTTGGCTTAAAATGACTGCAATACTCATGTTTATATTGACACTATAAAGGTTATAAAGGCCCAAAATGCTTGCTTTTGGAAAAAATCCAGAAAAACTGATTTTCACTGGGGCGAGTGAAAAAAATCTACTCTAGAAGCTTATTGAAATCGAGTATGCAGTTTGGTGTCTACACATTAACTTTTCTAGAAACCAGGTCCTTTGTAAGGTCATTCTGGATCAGAATTGATAAGGTACGCAATTTCTATCAGTAGTTCCAACCCTAGGGGGGGGGGGGGGGGGGGATTTCTAAATTACCCTCAGGCGCAAATATATGACTTTTGTACCTCGGCTTCTGAACGTAGACACTTAAGGGGTCGTTCACATATTACGTAATCAGCTGAGGGGGTAGGTTCTGAATGATTACGCTAGTGTAATTTTGACACAATAGCTATGTGTAAAACTGATTACGGAGGGGGGGGGGGGGGGGGAGTAAAAATGTTCCAAAAAATTATTATGTAATATGTGAACGACCCTTTACTTGCAGCACAGCAAAATGTTCAGCATGAACACATTCAGATAATATTTATGGAGCAACAACACAACTCAGTTTCAGAAGCTCCTTCCAGCTATCTTATCATATCCCCAAATCTATACATCTAACCATCTCTCTGGTTACTTCACACCACTTCAATCCTCAAATTTATACATCTGACCATCTCTCTGGTTACTTCCACCTCGTTAAAGCCAAGGCTCGTCCGGGACCGCTTTTTTGGCCGGTACTGGGACTGGGAAAAAGTGCCGGGAGCGGGATTAAGACCAGGACCGGGATTAGGGATCGGGATTATGTTTATTAACTCGCTTAGTTTATTCAGAAAAAGTCAAAAATTATCTTTAAGAACAGCTTTTTTCGGTTACTTGGACAACAGCTTGATTCGGACCAGTCCAAATATTTAAAAAACTGTTATTTCAGCGGTTCAGTACAAGATTACCTACTCTATATTCAATCACCGCTGGGCAAGAAGTAGAGACCCTCAGTTTGTTTACATTAGAGGATCAAATGGAGAGACAGCTGAACATCCGTGTGATGCAGACTTCAATGTAATCAACCAAGATGTTGTGTGTGTTTTTGAGAGTGATATTGACATCGGGGATTACGAATGTGCATTTCTGAGGACTGGAGGAAGCGATGGACTTGATCTAAAAAAGGTAGTAGTTCAATAATTATTTGCAAATATAATAGCTGGGATTTGAGTTATCACTTGAGCAATCTTTTGCTCAAGGTGCACACTATATTTGCAAAATAATGACACAATGTCTTTCTCGGCTTCAAGCTAAGCTTATTAGTGGTTTTTGCTAAATTTAACTGAAATCAACCAGGTGTCGGTGCAAATAGACGGTATAGAGACACACACAATTGTTCCTCAATGGCGTGCAAACTATATAGGTCTGGACGATGGTGAAACCAAAAAGTTCTGTAAATCTGGTAAGACTAAAACCCCTTTCGTACCCTCAAACGTATCTTATTTTTAGCATTTTTGATAAATTCATGTACATAATGATATTATCCTGATTTCCAATCCAACCTCATAAAGTAAAATCTACTTCTACTTTCTAGTTTCCTTCAATTCTGCTACCTCCACTCTAGCTCTATCTAACAATCTCTGAATGCTTCTTCCTGCTCTATCTAACACCCAATAATTGTTTTTATGTTTCCACTAGCAGTAGCAAATTCTAGCCTTATCCAGCAACCTCAGACTTACTCCTACTCTGTTCAGCTATCACCAGCACTTTTAAATTATAGCACTATTCAGCAAGCTCAGACTACTTTCTGCTCTATCCAGCTAACACTAGCAAACGGTACCCACAAATGTTAGCTTCTTCTATAGCTACTTCGGGTTACATCCATCCTTATTCAGTTGGTTGAGCACTCTCAAATTCTATTTGTTTTTACCTAATTCATGCTACCTCCAGGCTCCAGCTAGAATTTAAGGGTGCTTGTGCTATCTGGATATAGCATAAGGTAGTCTGAATTTGCTGGATAGGGCTAGAATTTGCAGGTGCTAGTGGTAGCTTAACAACAATTAGTGGGTGTTGGTGGAAGCTAGATAGAGCAGGAAGTAGCATTCAGAGGTTGCTAGAAATAGCAGTTTTCCTCTTCCTCAATGAGCTGAAAATTGTTGAATGCAGCTGAGGCAGCCGGAAAGAGCCAGAATAAATTGTTGCTGGTGATGCTATAAAAGGCAAGAGGTAGCTTAAGTTAAGTTTGCTAGAAAGATCAGAGGTTCATGGTGGGACTGGGGGCAGGGGGCTTTGCAGTAGTAGCTAAATAGTTGTAGCCGTGAAAAGAGCTGGAATTGGTGGTTTCTGCCCACTGGTGGTACCTGTATAGAGCAGGAGTTAGCATTCAGAAGTTGCTAGAAAAAAGCTAAAATTATAACGTGCTGGTGGTAGCTGTGTAGAATAGGCATGACATGAAAGGTAGCAGAATTATAGGTAGCTAGAAGTAGATTTTACTTCATGAGTTGGGATTGAAATTGATTAGCCATAATAATAAGACAGTACTGGAGAGAGCCCAACTTGTGGTAGCTATAACGAGATAGTTGTTCATGTATACATTTGAGGATTGAAGTAGTTTGAAGTAACCAGAGTAGAGAGATGGTTATTGGTTAGATGTATACATTTGGGGATAAGATAAGATATAAGCTGGAAGGAGCTTCTGAAACTGAATTGTGTTGCTCCATAAATATTATCTAAATGTGTTTATGTTGAACATTTTGCTGTGCTGCAAGTAAAGTGTCTGTAAGACTTTTTTAGCTCATGATACCAAAATTAAGTACATGTTTGATGTTACTATTTTAGGATGCACGAAAGTTAAAACATGTTTGAATGAATGAATATCTCCTAAACTAAGCACTATAAACCCTATGTTGCTTTATAGCTTGTAAGTAAATATGGCCTTTGCAGTTAGTTTAAGCTAAAAGAGAAGCCGCTACAACGTTCAGAAGCCGAGATACAAAAGTCATACATTTGCGCCTGAGGGTAATTTAGAAATTTCCCCGGCCCTAGCATATATAGGGTTGGAACTACTGATAGAAACGCGTTTGTCGATCCCTGATCCTAACAGATAATGGACTGTATAAATGAGATTATGTAACTGTAAGCTAACAAGATAACTATGAACTAAGAATTTCTATTTCAGGCTAGGTGATAACCGGAGTTGAAAATGATGTAGGTGCATGTTCATCGTAGTCGAACATTGTTCAATCGTACAACCGTCAAAAAATATGGGGAAAATGAAGTAAACTGTTCAAATTTTATATTTATGATTTTAAAATGTGCTTTTTTAAACTTTAAATTGCATGACAAAAATTGGCATCTAATATTCAACACTTTTGTGGCGGTATTGTAGTGACATTAATGCATATTGACTTCTTAAGTTATGTCTTATTGCTGTCTTAAGTTATGTCTTATAGTTACTGCTTATCGTATTGTTCTTATAACTAAAATATTTACTCATTCATCATTTATCGTGTTTAATTCTGTGTATACTGTTATTTATTGGAAAGATAAAATGGTGACATTATGCAACAGACAATTAGTTAGTTTGCTAATTATAAGATATGAAATAGAAAACTTAGCAAGGATCAACAAACAATTACAAATTAGTAAAGGCAAAGCGGGTTATTGAATCCTCGAGTCTGGTACGGCAATTTTAGAGCATTTGGAAATATTCCCTCAGTAAAGGAAGAATTTATGATTACGGCCAACGTTTTTGTGAATTTCGTATTTAAGCTTGCAAGATTTATTGGTTCAATTTTTGTGTCACGTGTCGCTTTGTTCTTGAATTTTGTTACTACTTTACTGATTTCAGAGGGCGTAACAGGTCTTAACTCAATACTGCTAGTACCTATATCCGTCCTACGTCCGTACTGTAACAATTCTTCAAAACCTGGCCTCCTGGATCGAAAGTTTGCCAAGCACTTATTTAGGACTTTATGTTGCTTGCAATGTTGGAAAAATACTAATTAAATTTAGCTGATAGATCGGAATGGCTGCTGAGTATGTTTCCACATTCATCCTTTAATTTAATACTAATAGGCCCAGAGTGCTTGGCATTTCTATTTTGGAGACTATTAATAAGTTGCCACTGCTTTTTGGAGTTGTCGCGGTACTCATCAAACAAGTTTTTGTAATACTTAGTTTTGGCCAAATTTATATGTTTGCTACAGAATTTACCAATTTTTTGCACGCAGAAATATTTGTCACGCTGCATGGGAACTTTTAACTTATCGTGGTACTGGTAGAGACGCTGTCTTAGTCTACGGGCACATGCATCTTCTGGCTTTTACTAATTCGCTCGCCCAAAAATTTCACGTGACTTTGGTTTTTATAGTTTTGCAGCCGTACAAAACGGTTTTACATAAACCCTAATCCCAACCCTAACCCTAACCATAACCCCGAAGCTATCCATAACCCTTACCACAACCCTAACCCTAACCCGGGCCCTAAACAATCGAATTCGTATTTTACTAGCCTGTCACGTGACCAATACGGTTTTTTGCCCATAACTCTCCAGGGAAGCATTTTAACCCTACGTCATGGGGGTGATTCGGAATCAGCGTCCAAAAATACATCGATCTAGACCACTTTCATGCCCAAAGGGCCTTTTCTGTTTTCACAAGAATTTTCTTAAAATTTGGGCGAGCGATTTAGTAGGAGCGGCATCTTCTAGCCACGGCCAGTAAGATCCAGGGTTTTGAGTCGTGCCGTTCATTTTTACGTCTAGGTCCAGGTTTCTTTCCAGGTTTCAGGGGGGGTCAATTGTCGGGGGATCAATTTTCGGGGGGTCAATTGTCGGGGGGTCAATTGTTGGGGGGTCAATTGTCGGGGGGTCAATTGTCGCACCCAATACTAATAGTATGGGAGGTGTAACTGTAACTGTAAGGGCAACGGTCGTCGGTCATGCTTGCCAGCACTGTGATTTACTGGGCCGCGCTCAGCCTGTCATTCCGCCAAATCTTTATTGTTTATTGTTCTTTATGTTAATGAACATAATAGCCTGGGGTCCTCAGGTAACACTGTGATATAATTCTAATATAATATACGCTGCTATAATAGTAATACTAATATAATATACGCTGGTCGCGGATGACCGATTTATTTAATATTGTATAGATACAAGAAAAACGCCACTTTTATTCGGACGTATGGAAAATTATTAGTGATTCTTTGAATTACAATTACATGGTAAATAATTATTAATAGGAGGCTAAATTGTGAAAATGAGGCCAAATTTGAGGGTTCGTACGATATTAGGAATTAAAACACATACATATGTACTGCATATATATACGATATATGTACATATCCAATATCGCTCCCACTATATTATATAATATCGCTCGCCCAAATTTTAAAAACATCTTGTGAAAGGCCCTGCTCTGAGGGTAAGTATAAAGGTCACGTAAAACCCAAGACACGTGATGATGCCGTGTTATACAATATGAACTAACTCTACTCACGTCCGAAAATGGCGTTTCTCTTGTATCAAATATGAAGCTACGATCTACATTTACCGATATAATGCTAAATGTGAGCAGAGATATGCAAGGTTTCAAATGAGTCTACATATGAGGCTCCGTAAGGTCATGCATATATGAGGCTCCATATAAAAACATTTAAAATTAAATCATAGATTGGAGGCTAAATGTAAGGTTAGTTATGAGGTTAGATGAAATTAAATGTGATGTTAAAAACGAGGCTACATTTGCCCAAAAATAAATGCAACTACTTTGATTTTCTTTTATTTTCATACCATTACCAGGATAAAAGCATACAGCTTATAAAAATTACATAAAAATCGAATTGACCTAATATACCTCAAAGATAGAATTTCAAAATGAAAAAGTACCAAAGTTATCAATAGAACTTTAAACATTTAATATAAAAGCTTTAAGTTATTGTTTTCTAATATAATACTAATAGTATATAACTTATAACTTATATATCATAAGTTGTTTTCTATTTGATTGTTTATAGTAGCAGATCTGATCTAGTAGAACTAAAAGAAAAAGTTAGCAGTCCACAAAGTGAATTATCTAAAGTTTAGTCCATGTCTCCATGACCTCTATAGTTGTTGTAACTAACTGAAATATTTTCAAGGTTTCTACGTTGCGCTCATAAATAAACGAGGTCTCCCATGGCCATTTCCAGTACCACTGCTTAGAACAACCCTTCTCGCAATTATCAATTGCATTAATTGAATTAAGACGCCCGGTCGACTTCAACCCTTCAATTTCAAATCTAAAGGCCGAGTTGTTGTAAAACAGAAGAGGTCGGTCACAATGTATGTGATGCAGATGCCTCGTTTCTGGCCTCATCTGGCGGTACCATTCCGACAAGTTGCCTTGCTGCTTGGTTACGGTTAGGTTGAAAATCGTTTCTCAATATTCTGACCTGCCAACCAGCAGGTACCACTACACGACCCGATATTCTTTCTCGTATTCCAAAGATAGCTAGAACAATCACAATCATCACCAGGAGGATTAGAAGCCCCATTAACGTTTCTGAAAAAGAAAACGGTTAAATTATAATTACATTTATCTTTAGAATTCAAGACGATCATAATCATATCCACGTGAAATTTTACATCTTTTATTTGGAGCTCGGATGGGATTATAACTCAATAAAACCCTAATTTTCATCATATTTAACGTGAAATAATTTGCTGAATTACAGCCTGTGTATGTTAGATCATTTAGATTAAAAATACATCGATACGAAATCCGCTTATTGATGTACTCTAGACTGATTTAAAGTTAACGCGAAAAACTTAATATGATTAACTAAATCATATTTAGTATAGATATATATTTAGAAGAAAGGACAGCAAGAAAGTTGCCTCAAAGTAAATTTCATCAGATCCGGTAGATTGAAATTTACTGATACTCAGATGTACTTCTCGGCACAGCACACGATCGAAACAATTCTCATTCTCTCTGGTTACAATTATTAACATTTACTCAACTTTAGTGTATAAATTTCCCCATTAAAAATACATATAAAAATAGCCCATTTTATCAAAGTGACTACTGTCCATTAAAGCAAACTGAAAAATTATTATTAAGGGAAATTGGAATAAGCTACAAAATTTTAATAGTGCCAGTGGGGACAAAGGGTTAATCCTCCATGTTAATGTTATACCCCATCGTTGCTTTGTCGCATTTTCAGGAAATACAACTGATAGTTCCGAGTCTGCATTCTGCAACACCATCGATTCAGGCAGACTCAACCACAGAAAAGGATTATTCTTAGTCATCTAACTCAATCTACTATCTACTGTAAATTGGACCGACCAGCAAAAGGTGTCTTCTAATTCTTTCAAAAACTTCGCCACCAATTATGCACCAGCCTTCGCCACTAGCTGTGTCCCTTCTATTCAGTAGTGAACAAACATTTTTGACCATAAAGTAATGTTTCAAGAGGAAAAAAAGGTATCCGCCAGTGTCGCCAATTTTATGATAATTAAAAGTATAGTAAACTCTAACAATTTGACTCACCACACTTAAACAAAATTGAAAAAAGAAAAACGAAAAAAAGATATAATCTGATCCATATACTTATAATTAATACGATTACGCGTACAGCTGCCACACAAACTAACGATAGTAAGAGGGTCAAGGGATTATTTATCCAAGACTTAAATGGATAATTTTTATCATGAAGGTTACATATCAGCAAATTCTCAAAATATACATCATACTGCTTTTCTTATTTACGTATTAAACCAACCAGCGCATTAAATCTACCATCAATTTGCTCAACTACATGATGCTTCCGAGAGAGGCGTTTAGAACCGCTGATATCACGAAATGAACAGGTCCATCAATTGTCTTTTGTTCCAAGCTTCACGTGTCACCTGAGTCTTACAGAGTTCAATAGTAGAACAATGAACAACGAACGAAAAAAAAATCTGGTCACCCGAAGTCAGGCAACATCGCTACCTCCAGTGCCTATAAAACAAAACCATTGGTTTCCCATCTACCAAAAAGAACCCGAGGAAGCATTTGATGGGCCGGGTCTAACATCCTCCATCTCCACACGTTCTACATTTTCTACTGGAGCTAAGTTTTCCTCCCCGTACACACTCCCAGAGAAATGATTCCGAGTACTGTTCCGCCCCGGACTACTCCCCGCATCTGGCGTATCCTGATTAATGTTCCTGTCTGGAGATCGCTGTGCCCGGATGGGGGGCCTTGTCCGCTGGCAGCAAATCAAAAAGCAGCTGCGCACGGAACGGCCGAATCGGTTGTTGCCGTTGAGAACAATGTAGAATGCAGTTAGGGTTGTTATCATTATGGGAACTACTATCCAGATCATAAATACCGTCCCTGAAAATACGTACGTCAAACTCAAAGGGTTGTTTTGGATTTAATTTGTAATTGTATTTATTTTATTCTCATTTGTTACACTTATAAATTCGTTTTTCTTTGCGACCAGCAATTCATGTATTTTATTGATATGCCTGGAAATGACGCGTTCACACGTTAGAGTTGCCCAACTTTGACATTGAAAGCAAAATGTTCTGAAACTCGACCATGCATGTCAATTAGTCAATAGTTTAACCACCCACTACTAAATTTACCGTCAGAAAACTGTCGAGGATATTCTGAACATTCTGCAGCAATGAGACATAATTTTGAAATTTGACTTATTTCACTTCAGGGACGGTATTTTGACAGATAACGTTTACTAAGCACCAAGAGAATGGTGCTTATATGAACATGCATATAATAATTATTTCTGTAATTTAACTGTCAGCCGTGCTTCAATTCACCTGTATTGATTTCAAAGCCGTGGTGAATCGTCCCATTACCTGAAAGTTATGAAGATAATACATGCGTTTGGACCTCACTTACAAAATGAATATCAGATATAGTATATACGGGGGGGGGGGGGGGGGGGGGGGGGGGTGGGTGAAGTCAAATTTCAATGGATTGTGATATAAGTAATATAAAATAACCTAGTTTAAAATAAGTTATTAGAAGGACTTACTGCAAACAGAGTCCGCGTCCAACTCTATGATCTTCTGGCCTCTGAGAGCAACAGGACCAATACATGTTACAGACTTTATATCCTTAACCATGTGCATGTTACTGAAAAATAGGATAATCTTAATATACGGGATATGTTTATTGCAGGCAGTATTATAAATATTACCTTTTAAATGCTATCCGGCCTAAGAAGCTTCTGACAAATCCGAATAATGGTCATATCCAACGGTTCTATATTAGAAATGGATCAAAATCATATAACCCAATACGTTTACATGCCTAAGTATATTTTACAGACATTTTATAAATTAATAATTATTAACTAGAAGTAGGAGTACAAAACCTACCCAAAGAGCCAGTTCCTAAAGGAACAGATGCTAGCTTCACAAACATAAGGGTTGTTCCCAAGCTTAATCTCTGTTAACGATTTGAGATGCTTTAGAGCGTCAGGGTCGATGTTACTGATATCATTATGCGATAAATCCCTGAAATAAAACTCAGAGTCAAGAAAAAGAGAGACAGAAAAGAATTATAAATTCCGTCGTAACTTACGGAATTTGATAGAATCCAAAAATCAAGCATTCGAATGGTTCATAAAGAAAGGTGACTAACGCCAAATATAATTGAAATGAAGAACGTAGGCCTTAATTTCTTTCCGATCTAAGGTAATATTTTCTAGAAGATATTGATCTTCACTTACAGTTTCATGAGAAGTCGTTGACTCTTGAACCTCTCCTCCCCTATCGTCTTAATCTTGTTGTTACTTAAGTTCCTGAGAATGTTTGATTTACTTCGATATCTTTTAAATGTTTACAACTTTTCCCATAAACTTCTCCATCATGATTATCAGATGACAAGTTGATAATGCATTGTCTTTTAATAATATCGATATTTGATAAAAACAAAAGAGGGTAAATCTTGGCAACTTGTCAAGCTGGATTGCAATCCCTCAATAGATTTAAATTAAGAGAGTTTAGTAACGTTAGTCACATATAATACACACAATGTGTTGGTATCGTATGTTATAAAATTATAAAATTATCATAAACTTATTCAATTGTAGCTCCCGCTGAACCTATTATAATATATATTATATCTATAATATATTATATAATATATAATATAAGGATAATTCTAGGTGTATAAATTTTGAATTATGAGGAAACTCAGTGTAAGATATTACGTAAAACACCCAGTAAGTTAGTTGTAGTGTTAAACACAACAATCGTGTAAGGCAATGTTAAATACTAAGCTGTTGGATAATTCAACCTGAGAGTACGTTAAGGCTGGAAATTTGCCGAATTGTTCAGCTTAATTGTAGTGTCTTTTGTCTCCAAATTTGCTGCATATAAAAAGTTTTGTGCAGGTGCGGAATAATCGCACTATTTACAAATTATTACCGCACGTACGTCCTACATGTTATGTTGCCTCTGTAGCCAAATTATGTAAACTTTAAATCAATATAATAAATTATGTAAAATAATATTCGACAAACTTACAATATGCTTGTGACATTGGTCCCTTCAGGAGGTTTGGTAAGACTTTTGTTGGAATAGTCCAGACAGTATCGATAATCACCAAGCAGTGTACCGCAGCTTAAATCATCATAACTGCTGACCTTTGTCTCTGCGAAACACGCATAAATTAATATAGATATGTATTAAGTTATTCGAATATATTAGATGGACTAAATAAAATTTAAATTCTAAAGATTGTTCGATCAGATTAGTTGACCGATCGATTAAAACTATTAGGTTAACTTAGGTATCCATATTGGGGTGAAACCATCACAAAGGAGATCACTGAATTTATATTGCACACAAGGTACACCACACGTTAATTATTACCTGTTTGGATGACTTGTAGAAAAAGAGGGAGAATAATGGTAGTAAGTAGTGTCGTCCTCACATTCTGCATGTTACGTAACCAGCATCATATACTTAACTTAAAATAGAAGTTTTATTATAGGGTATTTTAATTTATAATTATTAACTTAAATATCAACTCAATTAACTTAATGTTACGTATCCAGCATGATGAACTTAATATATAAAGATATTATACGTTTGTTGGAGCATGAACGTTTTCAACAATTGACAGCGATTCACAAATTCGAACGATTATTACAACAAGTTGATTGGCAAATTGATTTCAGAATGGTAGCATCAACACAAGTTTCTATAACCAAAATGATTCCTGCTCCCACTCATCATTTTCGTGCGTAACATCATGGTGATTCTTGAGACCGAGCGTGCTAATCACTCTACAGTTGAGTGTCTTCGAGATTTTTCTGACAGTTAAAATCTACCTGATTCGATGTATTTTCGAACGCTGATTCCAAATCACCCCACATGACATAGGGTTAAAACCTAAAATGCTCCTCTAGCGAGAAATCGGCGAAAAGCTGTCTCTATCACGTGATATTACCATATAATAAGGAAGTTGGACTACCTTAGGGTTAGGGTTTCAGCATATGCTTCAGTTAGGGACTGGGTTATGGTTAGGGTTGGGATCAGATTAGAGAGTTAGGGTTTCGAATAGTCATTCAGAGCCACCTAGAGGACGTGTTAAAAAAGTCACGTGACAGTCGAGTGATTAATCATCATCCTTTTAAGACGTTAGTGCCGATTTTACTTCTGAGGAATTCCCCAAACCAAACCAAGTTATCAAACGACAGTTTAAAATCAACTCGGTATAACCCACTGAAACGAGTCGGTCACAGTATATCACCTTACATATAAGGATAAATAAGCGTAAATATTGATAATCTCAAAATCTAATATTTGATCGCTAGACGAAACGATTACTAAGTTGACAAACTAACCAACGTACTACCTTGTTTTGGATATGAACCTCATATCCCCGATATTAATCAGAAAAATCGTCAAAGTAATTTCAAATATGTCAAGTCGAGACAATTCAAGGTTAATTATTAAAATCTTATTAATCAAGATATTTCACATGTACATTGTACGTGTGTGTTGGGTAACCTGGGTAAACTTGGCCGTCAAATGGATTGGGAGGGTTGTGAAGACAAAACGAGCAAAGAACTTCACGTTAAAGAGTTGACTGGTATTATTACAGTCAACAGTTTAGTCAAGTTGATGCTTATCAAAAACGTTGCACGCGAATCAGCGTTTCAATAGTCAAATAAAATTCATCGTACTCGTACGTTGATGTACTGGCTGCTGCTTCACTTAGCATGCTCGCATAAATACTTTTAAGGTCAAGATTGGTTATTATGAAGCCATTAAAGCAGGAATCAGCCAGAGAGAATTATACTGTTTCAAGGAGGAACGCACAAAATATACCATTAGCTGATTAGCTGATAAGCTAATTAAACTTAAAGCTGCATTATACGATATTATACTCTATGCAAATTGCAAATTCATCCTCATCCCTGGTCTCGCTAAATTGTTCAGGCGGTTTATTTATTAATTTTGCTCTGATATTAGATCAGGAGAGACGTATTATATATGAACAAACTGGCTTAAACGCCAATTTAGCCATAATATAAACAGTACATACAATGTCGCAATAATTGGTGACTCAGCTGCACCTTGATAATTGACATTAAAACCAGATAATCTAAGTCAATGTCCAGTAAACGACTGGGGCGGGGAATGACCAAATTCGGTCGGGACTGGAAGTGACCGGGCAAGGATTTCAGTTGGATAATTGAAATTGTATTCATGTAATCATGATGGTTAACACAATTTTCTATGTTTGAGGCACATTATGCAATGTATCCTTTAAAGTTCAGGTAACTGATCAGTTTTGAATTGAACGTAAATATGAATTGCAGTATCAAAGCAGTATATTTAAAATTTATTGGGCTGTAATCAAAATGTTATAAGTCAACTGTTTAACTTATAATTCCTAGCAAAAATTGTAAATTGGCGGGAAAAATACTTCCCCCGGCGTTGGGAATCCCGGTCGTTTACTTGACATGTCAGCGAATCAAAGGTAATAAAAAAGTAAGACAAATAAAAGGATTGCCTTCAAAACAACTTAGGACCGTTCAAACTATATAAGGAAAGGGAATATAACTGAATAGGGTTATATCCTTCAATAATCCCTTAAATCGAGAATCACGATATTGATAGTCTCTAATTTTATGTAAAATCTTATAAATATTCAAGAGTTTTTGCATATATTTGAATATTCATGGTCACGCCCGAACTGTTTAAAGTGATTTAAATTGTATTTATATTATGCAATGCTCGACAAGCTAATCTCATATAAATAGTAAGAAGCAGTATTACAACTCACCTGCTAATGTGCTTAAAACATTAATTTGTATTGAGTAACTTGGCTTTTTAACTTTATAAATTCATTGCTATTAAAAATGATTTAAATAACCATTATGGAGATGATAATGATTCTCCTGAACATGTTTGATCCTTAAATTATAAAAAACGTTAAAGCAAGTCCTTACTGAAAACAAAATAATCCTTTAACCACTACTAGAATGTTGATAAGTGATTTATATATTTATCTTTATTAAAACATTGTCATTTTTTATTTTGATTGGGGACCAGCTTTGCTTACTCGCCAATGTTTACTTCAAATATATGTTATTACAGATACAAAATTAATGTAAAAAGTAGCACAAAATACTTAATAACTCCAAATCTCTATATGACTGATTAATGATAAATGTGATTATAAATCAGGCAATATGTTAAAACTTTAAAAGATAAAATATAAGTTATTATGAACACTGTCATTGAGATGAATGCCAACTAGATGTGCAAGTTAGAAATTAACTGTGCTAAATAGGCTCTCGGGAATTGTTTAATCCTGTATGATCACTTAAAAAAGCAAAAAACTGAACGTTAAAACATGTTGCAAACACTCAAGCTAGCAACGCCAACTAAAACCAATTGATTCGCCACAAAATATATTTGACCCATATCATCCCTCGGCCTTAGTTTCAATCTTATCTCTGCAAAGGATTTTACCAGCCTTTATGAAAAACACTTTATCCTTCTCTTCTGCCGCTCTATCCTTCATTTCCTTGACTAAGTTTCTTTGAAACTGGCGTTTTTCAGGAGACCGATCTGGACAGATGAAAACAGTTTTAAACTTTTCTGTTATCCTCAGATTCTTTAGTGTTGGCAATTCAAGCTGATCAACAACAGTTGAGGTTGATACTTTTAATTTAACGGGCCGGGCGGTAACTGAATTGTCCTTAGATTTCCTGCCAATTCTGCACGCTTCAACGATCTTCGGTTTTTGTCCAATGTTTTGGAAAACCTCGCTAACTGTGTTAACAAGTTCGCTATCGCTCCCTTCGGACAGACCAAATACAACGACGTTGCGACTGCGGTCCTCTTCCTCAACAACACGTTTGACTACGCTTTTAAGCGTTTCCGAGCTGATGACCAGCTCAGTTGGCTGTAAATTGAGCTATACGTTTGAAATTCGGTTTTAACTGAGTCAAAAACAGATGTCTTAACGGTTTTCTTTAATGTTTCAAGTTGTTCAGTCTTACAGTTCGAAAGCTCTGCCTGAACACTGATCAATTGTTCCTGACTCTTTATGAGATTGCTCTGAATTAAAATTTACTCGTTCCGAAATTTCTTGACAATGGTCTATAAAAGTATCATTGATCTGAAACGAATCATTTAGATAACGGACTACATCAGGCCTGCAGTCAACTTGTTAATGTCCCCACCGTTATTCTCACCGATTTTGACATTAGGTTTCTTCAACTCCATTCTGAAATCTTTGCTCCATTCTAACGTATCCGTCAACACCACATCAATCTCATTAAGTAATTCACTTTGCATTTTATAAGGCCAGGTAGCACAGTTGGTTAGTACGCCAGCTTTGCAATCGTGAGATTGCGAGTTCGAATCCCACTGTCTGCCTGGTCGTGGGGTAAGCGTCGTTGACGTTCAGCTAAGGATCCTGAGTGGTCTATATGCAGCCCCCCGGTCAACTCAGACGAATACTCGAGAAATTGGGTGTGAGGGTTAAATGAGGAGCTGCACATTGCAGCAAAGTCTCGGGCGAAGAAAGTATGGTACTCACTACCTTAACCGTCACTGGCCAAATAAATCCTTCGGCTTCCTGCAACTGGCTGGTTGCACTTGTGTAACAATGTGGCTGTTGGAATAAACCGAAGTAAAATAAGTGTCTTGATAAAAAAATTACAAGGTGAGGCTGTAACGGTTAAAACAAGCCGTGTTGGATATTAATTAACATTTAAACAAAGATAAGCTAAAGCGATAACAGAGCTACAATTTAGCAACGAATGTAAAAGTGTAATATCTGCACTCGATATTACACGTTAAGTCAACTATCAGAAAAGCAGAAATTTATATGTATGAATGAAAAAAAAAGCTGTCAACCCCAATGAACACAATAATCCAAAAAATAACCCTGACAATAATGAAGTCTGATTAGCTGTTCTCTGGTCGGCTAACGGAAAAAATAAACTCCCTTCCAACCCAGACCTTTAAATGTATTGCACAAGCACATAATTAGTATCGGCTGGACATTATACGGTCACCTAGGGTTAGTGGTCGGCAAGTGGTTGTTTCTACGACCACTTCCAATCTAGCACCACTTTCATCTTGGCAATTATAAAAGTATTATAACAACCGCATAGCTATGGCCCGCGAAGTCTTTCTCCGGACGTCCACGACGTGCGAGCTGGGTGGCGCCCACGGGAGACCGGGAGTATCAGTGAGTTATCTGCGATACTTTCCTGAGGACGGAACTCACCTTTCCATCCTCCACAGCTTTGAAGTACAGCAGTTGATCTCGATGATTGGCCAGGAAAATTTAGATTGATTATACATTTCTAGTGGCATCGGGGAGACGAAAAACGGGCTTTTAAACTTTGTAACCAAACAATATAGAGGGAGGGTGTCATAAAATTAAATACTCAAGTTAGCTACCACTGTAAATTCTTCTGAATTCTGTTGACCAGA